TATAGGAAAAAGATTAGCCATGCTCCAGGCTACCTCTGTAGGCTGATAGGGCAGGAGGACGCTGAGCCCGCAGGAGTTTGTCTGAGGGCTTTCGTACTAGGTAACACGCATGGCACTGCTAGCCTGGCGAACAGAGTTGAGAATTCGCTTCTGCTAAGGATGAAGATAGAGATGCGGAAAAGGTGAGAGACGTAAAAGAAATTCAGATCGTTCCAGCCAAGGACAGGAGCTGAGTGGATGCATAAACTGAACCAATCCCCACCACAAACATAGTAAATGAAGTGGAAAGATGACAAAAGCCCTCAGATAATGAATGGGTAAGCTTAGCTCCATAGGGCTGTCACTGGAATTCGTGTGCGTGGCATGGAGACCTAAGGCCATATATGAGCTGAGCGAAGCATTTAAGTGTCTGCGTCAGAATGGAGCCAAAATTCACCGTTGAGCCATGGTGATGGCAGATTTAACTGAGAACCCGGGTAGTTGTAAAGCAGGGCAGGGAGACACGTTGCCCTCTCCAAGCAAATAGGAGGTAAAATAGGCGTTGAGTTACATCGTACCAGCATAGGACATCTCTTGCCGTCTATCAGGTAGACAGTCGGCACAGCGTCATGACGAAAAGACCGTGACACCCAGTATCCATGCATTAATCTCCGAGACCAGGAAGCAGTTAGGGACGTATCGTACCCTAAGAGTCAGAATTTATACCCATAACGTGGCAAGCAGGAAGCCGACCCAACAGTGAACAAAGAAAATCCCCATGCAACAGCAGATCCTCAGACGCAAGAGGAGCAATGACACATGATCAGAATGCCCAGTGTTATTAGAAAGACAAATGTAAAATACCCAGATGAAGAGATAGACTGTAGCTAGAAGAGGCAATATAGCTTAACAGTCGGAGAAGTAGAAACATATTATGTGGTACGGTATACGTGATCGGGTGAGTGTAGTACAGGAATAAATGGTTGCGCTTAAGAATCCTCAGAGAGAAGAAGTAGAGAGTGCATGGCACAAACAACAAGGAGACTAGAAACTAGTAGAGATAAAACAGCACTATGAAAATAAAAACTGACATACTAAAGTAAAGACGAAGAATCATTTAAATAAAATTTTAAATAGAAAAGATAACCAGTAGTTTGGACACAGCTAACACTATAGTTAATGAACTACAAAATATAACTCAGATAATTACCCAGAACTCAGCCTAAAGAAGTAGAGATGGAAAAAAATGAGGTGGATGATTATTCTAAATATAAGAGTATTGTTGAGACCTCTACTTGTAAGGAATTAAGAATTCCAGAAATAGAGAATAAAAAGAATATGGGAGACGTAAGATTTAGATTCCTGAGCGTGAGGGCGGGGCGTGCGGGGGGCGCGCATGCGCAGGCGACGCGCAGAGGGCCGAGGCAGAGCCGCGGAGCCGCCATTACGTCCTTCTGCGTCAACGCCGCCGGTCGCGCCGCCCGCCCAGTGCCCGCCGCCGCCATGGGAGTGCAGGTGGAGACCATCTCCCCCGGGGACGGGCGCACCTTCCCGAAGCGCGGCCAGACCTGCGTGGTGCACTACACTGGGATGCTTGAAGACGGAAAGAAATTTGATTCCTCCCGGGACAGAAACAAGCCCTTTAAGTTTATGCTAGGCAAGCAGGAGGTGATCCGAGGCTGGGAAGAAGGGGTTGCCCAGATGAGTGTGGGTCAGAGAGCCAAACTGACTGTATCTCCAGACTATGCGTATGGCGCTACTGGGCACCCAGGCATCATCCCACCACACGCTACTCTCATCTTTGACGTGGAGCTTATGAGACTTGAATGACAAGAATGGCCTCCTCCCTTCGCTCCCTGTTTTTGGATCGGCCATGGAGGGATCTCGTGCCTCCAGACGTGTGCACACGAATCCGTATGGAGCTTCTCCTGATGTTCCACTACACTCTGTATAAACATCTACCCCGACTGAATGTGTTCTGTCACTCAGCTTTGCTTCCGACACCTCCATTTCTCTTTCCCCTTCCTCCTTGTATGTGTGTTTACCTAAATTATATGCCATAAACCTCAGAAAAAAAAAAAAAAAGATTCCTGAGAGTGGCCAGGCGTGGTGGCTCACGCCTGTAATCCTACCACTCTGGGAGGCTGAGGTGGGTGGATTGTTTGAGCTCAGGAGTTTGAGACCAGCCTGAGCAAGAGTGAGACTCTGTCTCTACTAAAAAAAATAGAAAGAAATTAACTGGATGACATATATATATATTATAATATATATATATATATATAGTACACACACACACACACAATATATATATATATAATTAGCTGGGCATGGTGGCTCATGCCTGTAGTCCCAGCTACTTCGGAGGCTGAGGCAGGATGATTACTTTAGCCCAGGAGTTTGAGGTTGCTGTGAGCTGGACTGATGCCATGGCACTCTAGCCCAGGCAACACAGTGAGACTTTGTCTCAAATAAATGAATGAATGAATGCCTGAGAGTATCCCAGAATTGAAGTAAGGCATGAGCCCTCAGGTTTAAAAGGCCCCATTACCTGAGAACATCAAGGATAAAGAGAAAATATTTAAAAGGTACCAGAAAGAAAAGACTATTCAGATTGACAATAGACTTTTCTTCAGCAACAATAGGTACCACAAGAGCAGTGATTGTCAATTAGCTGAGGGAAAATCACAAGGAATTCTATAATTGAGAATTCTATGTCCAGATAAGCTATTATTCAAGAGAAAAGGTAAATACATTTCAAGACATATGAGCCCTAAGAGACTTTATTTCCTACAGATCCTTGCTAAGGGAAATATGTACATATAATGAAGAAATGGGATACCAGAAGAAACAGTAAGCAAAGAAATTGGTAAAACATGCTGAAGATCTAAATAAATACTGACTATAGCAATGATAACAATTTAAAAAATTGAGGTCCAGAAAATAGAAGCAGAGAGAACATTTCCTGATTCATTCTATGCAGGCAACATACCTTAATACCAAAACAGATAAAGATATTACAAGAAAGGAAAACCAATATTGTTCATGAATAGAGATGCAAAAATCCTTGAGAAAACATCAACAAATCAAATTCGGCATTGTATTAAGGGAATTATACATCATGATTAAGTGAGATTTATTTCAGGTATGGAAGGATGGTTCAACATTTGAAAATCAATTAATGTATTAATAATCTATCACATCAACAAGCTAAAGCTGAAAAAGAAAAATCATATAATCATGCCAATTTGATGCAGAAAAAAATTTGACAAAATCCAACATTCATTCATGATTAAAAACTCTCAGCAACCTAGTAGTAGAGAGAGAATTTCTCAAGTTGATAAAGAACATCTACAAAAAAACCTACATACTTAATCATGAGAAATTGGATACTTTCTCCCTAACATCAGGATCAGGGCTAGGATGTTTCCTCTCACCAGTCCTATCTGACATTGTCCTTAAAGTCCTAGCTAGAGCAATAAGATAAGAAAAGGAAATAAAAGGCATACAGGGTGGGAAGAAAAAATTACCGTTGTTGACATGACAGGTGGTCAATGTAGAAAATCACAAAGAATAATCAACAAGCTCCTGAAACTAATAAGCAATTATAGCAAGGCCACAGGATACAGCATTATATACAAAAGATAATTGATTTCCTCTAACACAGGAATGTGCAATTGATATTTAAAATTATAAACACAATACCATTTATATTAGCACTCCTTGCCCACCCCCCCCCAAAAAAAAGAAATACTTACGTATAAATCTAACAAAATAACTTTTGGATTTATATGCAGAACACTATAAAACTAATGAAAGAAATCAAAAGATCTAAATAAATGGAGAAACATTCTGTGTTTATCAATTAGAAGACTCAATGTTGTTAAGCTGTCAATTCTTTCCAACTCGATCTATAGATCCAATGAGACTCCAATCAAAATGCCAGAAAACTCTTTTGTGGGTATCAATAAATTGATTCTAAAGTTTATATGGAAATGCAAATGGCCCAGAATAGTCACTACAATGCTGAAGAAGTAAAATATAGTTGGAGTACTGATACTATTTAACTTCAAGACTTACTGCAAAAAATAAAAATAAAAAAATAAAAAGACTTACTGCAAAGTTACGGTAATAAAGACAGTGTGGTACTAGAGAAATAATAGACTCATAGATCAATGAAACAACATGGAGAGCCCAGAAATTGACCCACACAAATATAGTCAACTTATTCTTGACAAAGGAGCAAAGGCAATTCAGTGGAGAAAGGAATCTTCTCAACAAATAGTGCTGACACAATTGGACATCCACATGCAAAAAAATGAATATAGACAGAGCTATACCTTTCAGGAAAATTAATTCAAAGTGGATTGTGATCTAAAGGAAAAACACAGAACTAAAACCATGTAGAAGATAACATAGTAGAAAATCTAGGTGACATTGGCTTTGTTGATGAATTTTTATTTTTATTTTTTTCCTGGACGAGGTTCTGGGGCCCCAAGAGAAGGGGGCCCCAGAAGTCGCCCTGGTGATGAATGTTTAGATACAACACCAAAAGCCCAATCCACAAAAGAAAAATTAATAAGTTGGACTTCATTAAAATTAAAAGTATCTGTTCTGTGAAAGACACTGTGAAGAGAATGAAAAGACAAACCACACACTGGGAACAAACATTTGCAAAAATCTGTTAAAGCGCTTGTGCCGGAAATATGCAAGCAATTCTTAAAACCCAATGATAAGAAAACAAACAACTCAAAAATGAGCAGAAGTTACAAAGAAAACCTCACCAAAGAAGATGTACAGATGGCGAGCAAGCATATGTAAAGATATTCCACATCACTTGTTATAGAGAATTACAAATTAAAGCAACAATGAGGCACCACTCCACACGCTACTAACAGAATGGCTAAGAGGCAGAAAATTGACAGTACCAAACGCTGATGAGGATCTGGAGCAACTGGAACTCTCATTCACTGCTGGTGGGAATGCAAAATGGTATAACCACTTTGGAAGACAGGTTGGCAGTTTCTTACAAACCTAAACACACTCTTAATGTATGATCCAGCATTCATGCTTCTAAGTATTTACCCAGTTGGATTGAAACATACATGCAAATGTTTATAGCAGCTTTATTCCTAATCACCACAAACTGGAAGCTACCAAGATGTCCTTCAATATGTGAATAAATAAATCAGCAGGGCACAGTGGCTCACACCTGTAATCCTAGCACTCTGGGAGGCCGAGGCGGGTGGATCACTCCAGGTCAGGAGTTCGAAACAAGCCTGAGCAAGAGTGAGACCCCATCTCTACTAAAAATAGAAAGAAATTAATTGACCAACTAAAAATATATAAACAAAAAATTAATCGGGCGTGGTGGCACATGCTGGTAGTCCCAGCTACTCGGGAGGCTGAGGCAGAAGGATCACCCTGAGCCCAGGCGCTTGAGGTTGCTGTGAGCTAGACTGACGCCACGGCACTCTAGTCTGGGCAACAGAGTGAGAATGACTAAATAAGTAAATAAATAAATGAGCTATCAAGCCATGGAGAGACACTGAAGGAAAGTTAGATGCATATTGCTAAATGAAAGAAGCCAGTCTGAAAAGGCCACATACCACTTTATTCCAATAATGTATTAATAGCATTCTACAAAAGACAAAGCTACAGACACAGTTAAAAGCTAACTGTTTTCCAGATGATCAGGGGAAGGAGGGATGATTAGGAGAAGCAGGGGGAATTTTTAGGACAGTGAAACTATTCTGTGTGGTGTCTATTTGCTGTAATGATGGATACATAACATTATGTGTTTGTTAAAACCCATATACCTAATGGCACAAAAAGTACACCTTAAAGTACACAAACTTTAAAAAGTTTGTGGGGGTGGAGGAAGTGTTATGGGCTAAATGTTTGTGTCTTCCTGAAATTCATATTTGAAGCCTTAACCTTCGTTGTGATGGTATTACAGGATGGGACCTTCGGGAGGTCATTAGGATTAGCTGAGGTCATGAGGGTGGTGCCCTAGTGATGGGATTAGTGCCCTGACAAGAAGAGGAAGAGAAACCGGAGTTTCTCTCTGAACATCAAGAAAGCAGCTGTCTGCAAGACAGGAAGTGGGCCCTGACCAAGAACTGAATCTGTCAGCCCCTTAATCTTGGATTTCTCAGCTTCCAGAACTGTGAGAAATAAATGTCTATTGCTTAGGTCAGCCAGTACTTTTTTATTATTATTATTTAAGATGAAAATATATATATATATATATATTTCGAATTAGCCAGTTGGACTCAGTTTAGATGATCCCAATTTTGTTTGTAATTGGGAGCCAGTCGAACACACGCCTACTTCTCTCCATCAGGCCTGATCAGGGTGCTGACCTTGGCCACATCAATGTCATAGAGCTTCTTCACAGCCTGTTTGATCTGGTGCGTGTTGGCTTTTGACATCCGCAATGAACACCCGTGTGTTGTTGTCATCTGTCTTCTTCCTGGCAGACTCAGTGGTCAGGGGGAACTTGATGATGGCCCAGTGGTCAAGCTTGCTTCTCCTGGGGGTGCCCTTACAAGGATATCTGGGCTGTCTCTTCCGGGGCCACAGTGTCTTTGGCCGCCAGAAGGTGGGTGATGTACGAATCTTCTTTTTGTGTGTCACTGTGGATGCCTTTTATTTTTCATTTTCTTCTTCTTTTTTTTTTTCTTTTTTCCAGCGCTGCCTTCTTGGCCTTCAAAGCCTTTGCTGTGGCTTCTGCTTTGGGAGGGGCAGGAGCTTCCTCCTTAGCCTTCGGTGCCATCTTATGAAAAGGGCGGGGCGGGGGTGGGGCATTCATTCTCAAGCTAAGGAAGACTGGGGGAAGTTTTCTTTCTTCTGGAGCTAAACTTCCTTTTAGTTTCTGGCTGTGAACTATGCCATTCTTGTTTGTTTGTTTGTTTGTTTTTTGAGACAGAGTCTCACCTTGTTGCCGAGGCTAGAGTGAGTGCCATGGCGTCA